GATTTGTATGTTAGGCTTTGATTGTATGAACCCAAGTACTGATTCTGTGATTGATTATATTCGATTGAGGTTTTAATGATTGAATGACTTGAATCCTGATCAAATTCCTGTTGTTTCTGCTTTAACCTAGAATGAGAATATCTGACTAGGTTAATAGAGTATCCTTGATTGAAGGTAGGGAGTTGGTGACTTTAGTCGAGGAGCCAACTCACTATTCTGTACCAGATTTACTCCGGTAGTGGAGGTTTTGTTCTTAGGGCCTCAATCTGTCGACTCCGGTGGAGGTTAGTCGCCCGCTAGAGAGTCAGATTGAGGGTCTGAAGACCTTTAGTCGAGACTTCAGGCTGTTTAAGAACCTTCCGCAGTATAACTTTCATAGAAACTGAACTTGGTAATTACAATCCGGCTTAACTGCAGTCTAGGGGGAACCATATCCGGGTGACCTCTTTAACCTGAATACAACCAGTTTACTTGCTTTGTTAGTTTGTTAGTTAGACTTGCATTCCAGTTTCATTGCTAGATAACAAGAATTCACTGAGTAGTCATCACATCTAGGACCCGGGTTGATAATTAAACCCAAACCCGCTATACTACGCTTTAGGAAGTGATTACACTTGGCCAATTCCTAGGGTGACAGTAGAGTCGAGTCAGTCGTTCAAGATTTCACCGACACTCCCTCCTCCTTGCCAGCAACTAGAAACAATTTGATAGCATTCCTCGCTTTCACGCCATCTTTTATCAAATCTAAAAGGAGTGCAGTGAGTGTGTCCTCTAGGATGCAAATCAACACGAATCGGGCAATGATCCGACTCCACAAAATCCTCATGGTAAACCATTGCAGATTCAAATTCAGTTCTCCATGAAGTCGAACAGAGTGCTCGATCCAATCTTTCCCTGATCAACTCATCCCCTTGCTGCTTATTACTCCAAGTAAAAATTTGGCCGGAGAAACCGAGATCAATCAGAGAATTTCTTGCAATGAAGTACTTAAATGGAGAAACATTTTCATTCCTTAAGAGACAGCGTCCCTGTTTTTCAAAAGGGAAGGCTGCAACATTGAGGTCCCCCACCACAATCCACAGGTCTTCCTGACTCGCCCTCAGGGTCGTAAGTCGATCCCATAGAGCGCTTCTCTCTACCGCCGTGGTAGGAGCATGAACAAAAGTGTAGAAAAACTTGACCCTATTCTTGCTAATACTAGTGTCCATAAAGGACTTACAAGACTCTAAGACACTAATCTCCACATCATCTTTCCACCACAGGGATAAACCGCTACCTTCCCTTCTTGGACCAACATACTCAGAGTGATCAAACTTCATTGCTCTTTTCTTCTCCTCCATAAAGGAGTCTTCTTTCCTTGTTTCCATAAGAAAGAGCACTGAAGGGCCAAACTGTCGACAGAGCCTGCCGCAATAACTCCTTGTAAGGGACTGGCCGAACCCCCTACAGTTCCAACTCAGGATCCTCATTCCTGGAAAGGCGGCTTGAGGCCTGCCGCCGTCGCCCTCGGAGTGGTAGATTCTCCTTCTCCGGATTGGCATCCTTCTACTGTGATTTCTGCCAAAACTCTTCCTTCTGATGATATGCTTCCTCCTTTGGTAGATTTTCCTACTTTCACCTGGCACAAAAGACATAGAATCCAAAGAGAGGTTAGATTGTGTGTCTTGTTGTTGCATTGGGCTGGTATGGCTTGAACGATGCTCTGGCTTCCTTTTCTTCTTGGGCCTGGCCGGTTCCTCCTCATTAGTTGCAGCAGTGGGCTCCGCTGCTAGGCACTGGGCTTGGGCCTGGGTCAACACCTAGGCTTGTTGCTCCGCTATGACTGGGGTGAGGGAGACTTCAGTCGGAGTGTAAGATGGGCTTGCTAGAGTGAGGGATTGGCACATCTCATACAGGCCCGCCAGGTTCTCTTGGTTACCTTCTTTCCCACCCAGATCGAGGCTCCTTTGCATAGCCCTCGTCGTCGCCTCCATCTCAATCTCCAGAAAAGCTATTTGCAGGGCAGGTGTCGGGTTGACTCCCTCTCCTCTATAGACCCATTCTGATCCTCTTCCAGTGGTTTGCAGACTGGCGTACCCTGGTGGGTATGGGAAGGGTCCCTGCAGTGGGAGGCCAGCCAGAGTGATTTGGGAAGATTGCCCTCGGGTGCCGCGAATTTGCTGGGTGACTGGTATCTGATTTGTCAGGCGGCGCGATTGAGCCAGCTTTTCTCTGAACGAGGCCGGAGGAGTGTTTGCCGGTGAGTCGTGCCCGGCCCTGAGTGCATCTGTGTAGACTTCCGATGGGTCAGTGCACAGTCCCTCTCGAGGCAGTGCTGGATGAGGTGGCCGAGTCTCCCACAGAAATAACACAAATCCATGATTCGCTCGTATTTGAAGCTAACCCAGATTGATCGCACCCCACCGGGTATTCGAATCCGATTGGGATGGGTTCGTTGATGTTGACCTCCACCTTGACCCTAATGAATTTCAGCCAGCCTCTGAAGTCAAAGTTAGACTGATCGATGCAATGGAACTGGGGGAAAATGAAGGCTGCCACATCCTGAACTGCCTTTTCATCTTTGAGAGATTGAGGGAGATCATGCATCTGGACCCAGAGGGTAACTGTTTGTATATTGGATGACTCTGCTTTCTGTTCCCCATCCCATTTCTTTAGAGCAACGAGAGTGTTGCTCAGATTCCACGGCCTAGCTTCCCACACAGCATCTCTTTGTTTTGCTGACTGGAAGGAGTAAACGAGGAGGTTTTCCGCTTCTTTAGTGGCTTGGACTTCGCCATAGGCTCTCCATTTGTTGACTGCCGCATTCTTAGCTTTGGGTAGATTGATGCTGGCATCGGTGATCCATTTTCACAATAGCATAGCCATGCCACTGTCTCTCGCCCCTACTATGGTTGGTCTAACATTTAAAATGAGGTGGCTTTTCTCTCATCTCAGGCTTTTCGAGTGCATCTCCATTTCTTCTTGGAAGACCTGGATTAAGATCTTGTAAGGAAGGGTTGTTTACTTGCTGGGTGTTTGGTATCTTGAATCTGGGTTGATGTCTGGGGAGTGTGGTGGTGTAAGTGTTCCTGCCAGAGCTTCCCTTTTATAGGCCGATGAGATCTTTGGTGGTTGTGAGCTGCAACTCTTGGGTGTATTAAATGCGTCGGGCATTGATTGCCAGCTCCACCCCTCGTCTCCGTTAACCCTCTCTGCCGGGCTACCTCGTAATTGCCATTTATGGCAGCAGCTATCAGCCGGGCTATCCCTCCTCCTGGTAAGCTTCCTTCCTTCTTGAACTTTACGTATAGATAGCGGCTTCCAGATTTGGTCAGTGCATTTACTCCCAACTTGAGTCTCTTCTGCATGCATGTGCTTCTGGGGTGGGAGGTAGTGGTGTCTAATGATTGCCGATGGATAATCTTCCGTCTCTGCCTCAGGTGCTCTTTGGCAGTAAATTCTCTTTGTCTCTCTGGGCGTTTGAGCTCCATCCGAGTGCGTGCAATAAATATTTGCTTCCCCATCCTCCCAATCTTTATTGCCCATATCTTCTCTGTCAGCTGTGTATTTACTTCCCTGCTTATTGATTGACATCTTCTCAGGTGGTTTGGGCGGCGGATTGGTGGCTCCCCTGAGTTCTTCCTCTGTGGTAGACCTTCCCCCATTGGTCCTGGGATCTAGCAGGAGTAATCCCTTTTCAATATGGCGTATCTCTTCCCTGGCTTCTTTGCGATTTTCTGATAACCTCTTAATTGATTTGCAGGTGACCAGAGTTTTGAGATTGAAGGCTCCATAGATGGCAGCTGCAGAAGTTCTTGGATAGAGAGCTCTAGAGAAGGGGTTTAGAGATGAAAGGGGGGGGGGGGGGTAGAGCGAGAGTGGGTTAGAGAGAGAGTCATTTTTATTTTTGGTATTTTGCCGCGCGTTCGTGCAACTGCCCTCAATGGTTTTCATCTAGTCCACCACTAGGGTCGTTAATGAACCAAGCCGCTCATGAACGGCTCGGCGTCCGACTTGAGAAAAAATCGTTCGACACTCGATTGTCTTAATCGATCCAGCTCGCGAACAAGCTCATTAACTAAACGAGCCAAACTCGAGCCATACCATGTTCAACTCGAAAGCTCGCGAACAAGCTCATTTAACGGTTTGGCATCATAAAGAATTATAATTCATGGATTTTTTGTATGGAAATCGGGATAAATATTGTGTTTTATTTTGTTAGTTTTTGCTACAGGTTTGAATGTAATATTGTGCTCAGTTATAGGTCAATCTTGAACATTTATGAGCTAAACTCAATTTTGGGCTCGTTGAGCTTGTTTGACGAGCCGAGCTCGAGTTTTCATTTTCATAAACGAACCGAGCTTGAGCTTGCATATTAAAGCTCGTGATGAACAGGAGCCGAGCTCGTGCTCGAACTTGAAAATATATTAACGAGCCGAGCCCGAACTATGGCAAAACTCGGCTCGGATTATTAACAACCCTATCTAGGGTTGGCTATACGGTCCGGTCCGGTTAAATTGGCCCAAATTGATCCGGTTCAGTCCAGTCTTTTTGAAAATATAAGGACCAAAGATTGGATTGGATACAGTCCGGTTTTGATCCGTTCCGGTCTTGACCCAGTCCGGTCCCAATTCGGTCTTGATTTTATTTTGAGCTTGTGGGGATTTGAGTGGCCTAAGGCCTGAAAGGGTGAGGAGTTGGTTAAGTTTTATACTAAGTGCAAAGGTTTGAGACCGTTTATGCAAATTACCCTTAAGTTTTGGGTGTTGAGCTCTCTTATCCGGTCGTTATCCAGTTTTCGATCCGGTCCCAAACGATTTTTTATCTCAAATCTAAGCCCAAAAATTAGATAGGATTGTTTACTATCCGGTTTCATTCTGGTCTCGGTCCGGGTTATACAATCCGGATTATACAGTCCGAATTATACAGTTTGATTTCGGATAAAACCACACAGTCCGGACCAAATAGCCAGCCCTAACCCTATCCACCACCAATAGTCCCACGATCTGAAGTAATGAAATCCAACAGAGCAGAACCGGAGAGGAAAAGCCCACTCGGAGGCCCGTTTTTCTCTTTGCCCTAATCCGCATATTATGCTCCCTCCCCCTCCCCCTCCCCCTCTCCCTCTCCCTCTCCCATTTCTCAAGTCTCAACCTCTTCTTCGCTGATTGATTTCACTCCTGAGTAACGCTCTCACAGACCTGGTCGCCGCTTCTCCTCTCCTCCCCTCCATTCATCGTCTCTCTTCAAAAGATTTTTGCAACTTCCTATTTCATTTCTTAATCGATGGATATGATGGAAATAAATAGTAAAAGGTATGAGCAGCAGCGCAAGACAATGGCGGCAGCAGCAAAGAACGAGCGCCGGAAGGTTTTGGCATTTCCGTGAAACGATTTCAAAGAAAAAGAGTAGAGCGGGCCGCGGTTAAACCTTTGTTTTAGTACCGGCATTGGCCACCGCCGAATCCTCTCCGACAACAGAAAAACAGCCGCCGCCGGGCGGTCATGGGTTGATATTGAAAGGCGTTAGGGCCGCTTTCTAACATTGGATGCCGGTCTAGACTTCACCCAACATCGTTCCGAATCTCTTCCGGCGCCTGTTCTCTTCGCTGCCGCCATTCTCACTGCCTGCTGCTTTGATCAAATCCTTCGTTCTGATCCATCCGCGCGACTTCCTTTTTCTTTCTTTAATTTTCTGATCAATGTGGGTTCTAGTAAGCGCAAGCCTAGTCTAGTAGTCTAGTTGAATTTGTTTGTCGATTTCATTCAGATCCGCGTATTCAGCTCTCGCCGGAGAAGGAGAAGAAGGAGATGTCGTCGGCGCTCTTCATCGCCGTTGCGTGTTACCAGTGCTCTACTGTGCAGGTGAAGCAGCAGAAGAAGAGCAGCAACAAGTGGACTTGCGTGGTGTGCAACGAGAAGCAATCGGTGAGGAAAGTGTTCTTCCAGAGCTACATGGCCAAGGACGTGCGCCAGTTCGTTCAGTCGCGCAACATGGCCCGCAAAATCGCCGACGAACAGGCGTCTTCTCTGGAGCGTGGAGAATTGATTCAGGAGCAGCCATTAACAATGGTTCCAGCTTCTTCTTTTTGTATCAGGGCCGAGAGCAAGAGGCGATATGATTGGAGCGAATACCTAGATCCAGCAGAGGATGAAACAGAGGAGACTGTGGAAGGAGAAGTTGAGGTGATCACTGAGATGCCGCCTAAGAGGGCCAAGTTTAGGGATGGCGAAAGACTGCCTAATCAGATGAAACAGACCAACAAAGAGCAAGTGAAGGAGTCTCGGGGTAAGTACTGAGTAATAAGCCCTTTTTTCCTTGTGCTACCATTTCTAACAAGCTAACTCATAATGATAGTGATTGCAGGAGCATCATTGAAGTATGAGGCGAGCAAGTTAGCTGATCCTAACAGAAGGAATGCGACCAACTTGCTATGCAACAAGGAGGAAACAATGATGCGCCAGTTATCAACAACAGCAGCAACAACTGCAAAGGCAACGAAGTGGGATGATTACTTAACCAACGATGAAGATGAATGGTAGAAACACAAACAACTTTGATATATTGCCTCGATTAAGCATGCTGGTGAACGGAAATAGGCAATGCTCGAGTATTAGTTTCTTCTGTTCAAACTATGACTGGTGTTGCTTAGTAACTGTGATAGTAGTAAATCGAATCGTCTGGGATACGTGGTAGCATCTTGTAAAGTTTAGATATCCATTTTCTGTGATCTCGGAATTGAACGGGTATTGGTTAAAGAAACAGAAGAATGGTGGCGCGGGTGGTGGTCGATTCAATTCCTTTGTGTTACAAATTTGTGATCAGATCACCGTCTCTTCCGTTGCTTAAGTTTATGTTTGTTTAGGAGCTTCCTAGTTGGGAGCGGGATAGAAGATACCAGTGGAGAGAGTTTGGGTAGCACTTGACTAGTAGAAAGATGGCAGTTACCAAAGGCCAGAGGGATGGGGGGAATTTTGTGAAGCTTTGCTTGCTGACGGACTTGGCATTCCACATTTCTTTGCATTGATCTTTTTCGGTCCAAGATGTTGGGGGTCTTGCGTTACCTGTTGACAGAAATACTTGCGTGAAATATTGTAGACTACCCAAAAGAAACTTCCCACTACTGCTGATGTGTTTGTTCATAACATGTGTCGTAGGTTTTAAATGTGCAGTTCGTCGTACATGTCATGCGTCGCAATAAGGATTTCTATACATTTCAATGACAGAAATTCGACGGTTAAGTCCTCTGCGTTGGCCGGTTCTCTCCTGAACTCACAAATCCTCCTAAACAAGAATCATATGTATGTATCATATTTTCGTTGCATGCTCTACCACAACAGACTCTCCCTGTCCAATCTATCTTGCAATTTTTTGCTGCGAGATTATCACCTGGAAAGTAATTCATCAATCTTTGCAGCTGTGGAAGATGAAGAAAAATGGCCCTTTTTTATAGTTTGGGCCTCCTGCCTTTATCAGGAACAACCTATCTGTCATTCATCAGGTTTTGCTCGCCTCGGTTAAAATATATAGGAGGAGCCGATCCGCTCCGCTCCGTGCCCTTACTTTGTCGCTACCCTCACATCTTCTTCCTCGATTCCTGTCGTTTCCGCTGTTTGTTTACTTGTCCCAACACTCACTACCTTGAGCATAAAGCCCCTTTTCTCGATCTCTTATACAATGTTGTCAACCCGCGGGTCCCACTTTGACTCTGATTCGGTGATAAAAACTGACCGCACGCATCTGCCGGGTCGACCGCCACAAGGTACCGGTTGGAGGTCAAATTGTGTCAATTTTTTCTTTGTTTTGCGAAATGCGCCTATTTTCCACATAACTTTTCAAGATCTTTCAATCTTCAACAAGTCTTCATCCCCAAAAAAATTCGTTTGCTACCCCGAACGAGCAATTTTTCGGTTCTGACAAACTTTGGAAGACCATAACTTTGTGCTCCACAATCCGAATGTCATGAAACTTTTTTTGATTTCGCATAACTTTTGAAGTACTAAAACTTTTATTATAACCATAATTTTGGAAAGTATGTGGATTTGTGAAAAGTAAAGGCAAAGTTATTGCCAAAATCCCGTATACCCAAAAACATTTCTTTTTTTTAAAATTCTTTCCTAGTAAAAGTTGTAGCTCTTAAAAAGTTATGGGCAATAAAAAAAACTTTACGACGTTCGGATTGAGGAGCTAAAAGTTATGGCCTTCCAAAGTTTGGCGAAATCGAAAAATTGCTCGTTCGGGGTAACAAACGACATTTTTTTGAGATGAAGTCTTTCTTCAGATTGAAAGATCATGAAAAGTTATATGGAATCAAAAAAAAAATTTCGCTACAATCGGATAACCGGACGCAAAGTTACGTTTGTTTGAAGTTTCAGTGTTACGTCAGGCATTCACCGCTTTGGTCTGCCGCAGTGCGGTTGACAACAGCGGTGATGCATAAACATGTGTATTTTGGGAATTTTGTTTATAACGTGTGTATTTTGAGAATTTTTTTTTTAAATATATGTATTATGGGATTTCATCCGATAAATATTACCAACACCTAATCTCTGCTTTCAGGAAAATCAGACAAGGAAAAACTTGTTCCAATAGCGGCACAGCCAATCGATTTGGGCCGCCATGTCTTCTGCGCCACTGATTGACAAACAAAAACATATAGCTTCCCAACACCAACCGGCAGGCCCTTCCTCGTCTTCTTCTTCTTCTACGTCGCCTTCCTCTTCTATGCCCGCGTCTCTCCTCAGGAATCTATATATCGCCCATTTCTTGGCCAGATGGGATGCCAGGTTCTCTCTCCTTTCTTCAACTGAATAAACCCTTGTAGTTCCCGATCAGTGAATGGTAAACTGGGAAGAAATCAATTTCTTTTTCCCCCCAATATTTTTTAATGCAGGATGTGGGAATTCTGTGTTGGGTTGTACATGATCAATCTCTGGCCTGGCTCTTTAATCCTACCAGCAGTTTACGGAGCTGTTGAATCTGCTTCCATTGCACTCTTTGGTCCGCTCGTTGGACAGTTGATTGACGGCCTCACTTATGTGCAGGTGAACCCATAACTGGCTGATTAATTTTTATACAATGGTTATTTTGATTGCTTAGTGGTCGAACTATTATCATGGAATGGAATATTTCTTGGCTGCAGATTCTCCGGCTTTGGTTGGTGACTCAGAACCTGTCTTTTATAGTTGCTGGTGCCACAGTGATAGCCTTGTTGCTCTCCGCAACTCTCAAGTTCACCAATTTTACAGCATTCATATCCCTTGTTGCATTAGCCAACGCCTCTGGAGCAATTGGTACTCTTTCCACTCTTGCTGGCACCATCTTGATTGAAAGAGAATGGTATCTAATAAACCCTCTCATTTGTCCACTACATCAAACTTCATTGTAGTTTACCACAATTGCAACAACTGGGTCTGCAAATTTTTCTTCATACAGGGTAGTGGTGATTTCCGAAGGCCATCCTCCAGGTGTGTTAACAGAGATGAATTCAACCATCAGACGGATTGATTTGACCTGTAAGCTCCTTGCACCGGTGGTGTCTGGCTTCATCATCAGCTTTGTATCACTAAAAGCATCAGCCATTACTTTAGCTTGCTGGAACACTGTAGCAGTATGGCTGGAGTACTTCCTTTTCATGTCTGTGTATAAAGGGATTCCAGCTTTGGGGGAGAGTAACCTAAAGAGGGTTTCAAGATTTCCCCCCGTCGGTGATGTAGAAGAAAGCACCACTACGCCCTTTATATCCCCTGAGCATGTGAGTTCAGTTTCTCTTGGTGAAGCACCCTTTAACGTGATTAATGATGGATGGAGAAAGGAAATGGATGAATGGCTATCAAAGGCACCCTTCATTGGAGCTTGGAGAGTGTATCTGAGACAAAGTGTTGTGCTCCCTGGTGTTGCCCTTGCTTTACTGTTTTTCACAGTTCTCAGGTAATGATTTGGTACCTGTAGCTAGTTCTGTTACATGCTGATAGGAGAACTGATCCATCTGACTAACTATAATGATTCGGTGTTTCCAGCTTTGGCACCTTAATGACAGCAACCTTAGAGTGGGATGGCATTCCTGCATATGTGATCGGGTTAGGTCGAGGTGTTAGTGCTATCATTGGGATATCTGCAACTTTTGTCTACCCAGTCATGCAGTATCAAATTTCAACTCTCAGAACTGGACTCTGGTCAATTTGGTCTCAGGTATTGAAGCTCATAGCCTCATACTAGAATGGTTACTTGTAAGTTGTAATACATTGGAAGGCAGAAGAAGCTTCTGATTAGGTCTTTCCTAAAGATTTACTAACGAATGCAAAATGAAACTTCATGCAGTGGGGTTGCCTTCTGGTATGCGTTGGTGCAATATGGATCCAAAGCCGGACATTATCAGCATACATTCTCATGGCAGGAGTTGCATTGTCTCGAATTGGGTTATGGATGTTTGACTTATCAGTGATCCAGCAAATGCAGGTAAAAATTAAATTCCTCAACTTTGTAAGACTTTCCTTCTTGTGGTTTTCCTCTCAGTTGCTAATCATCGATTTTCCCGTGTCCAAATGAAAATGAAGGATCAAGTTGCTGAATCTGATCGTTGCGTTGTGGGAGGTGTTCAAAACTCTCTTCAATCTGCTCTTGAATTGTTGGCTTATGTGATGGGCATAATCATCTCAAACCCACAGGTAGCAGTCTCATCCTTCAGTAATGAAACTTTCATTCATAAAGCAAAAATCTGATAAATGTGAGCTTCACTGTTGTTGTTCAGGATTTTTGGAAGCTAACTTTGATATCAGTGGCTGCTGTAACATTAGCTGCCATCCTTTATAGCATACATATATACCGGGTGCGGAAGCACCTCATCCACTTTGAAAAGCTTATTGTTTGGGCAAGATGGGCAATCAGGTCACGTGAAAATGCATAATCCAATCCACCACGTCAAAGATGAAAGACAATATATTGTAAGTCAGACTGCCTACTCCAAGAGTAGTTGTTCATGTGTCATCATGTTGCAGATTGGCCAAAAGAATTTACCCCTCAGCCAGAGTGTTCCTGCAATTGTATGCTTGTGGTATTGAAGGCTAGGTTTTGTTTCTCAGTTCATCTGGTTTTTTCTGTCTCAAACACAAGATTCCAAATACATACTAGGGAGTACCGTTAGCAGTAGTTCGGCCTTCAGATCCGGTGACATTAGAAAGCTCTGTTGCTTCTTCATTAGAATGCCCTTAGGCTAGGCTGTGTGTAGCCAGGAGATAAAACCTGAAATGGAAACATTTTGATGTAATATAAGTTGCTTCATATATTCTTGAGAACGGTATCACTTAGAAGGACCACCCTCTTTGTACATGCACAGTTTGTAGAACAGTAGTAGAAGCAGACGCACCTAGATAAGTAACTGATGTAGTCACCTTTTCTTCTCGAAATATTCTCTCGATAGCGCGTAGATAACGAGAAGCTTGAAAACGATAAAAAAATGAGGGGAGCTCTCCCCTCTCTCCTTCGCCTAGGGCAAGGACTCGGTAAGCTGCTAATCACCATGGTGTGTTCAATCCTTTCTCGCTATATGAGGAATATAAATAAGTCTCGACAATGGAGGGATAGCATTTGGCTCCACCTCCTCTCTCTCCTTGAAACCCGAATAAGTAAGAGCTATGTGCTTAGTAGCCACAGATTCCCCTCAAAAATCTACTTCACACTTATCAGGATTACTCTTTAAACCAGATAGCAAATAAAACTCTGTCAACACTTCTTTCTATTTCTTTTTTCAAAACCTTCTTGGCCAACTTTGGTTCAACGGCTTAGAACGACAATTCCACTAACGCCAAGTAGCAGGATGTAGATTATTCAAGAATCGAAGTCGATTTGCTTTATAAAAAGAAGATATCAATGAACTTCTATGAAATGGTTTCACGGGATTCAGCCAATTGTCTTGATCGTGGGATATGCTCAAATGGAGGAGTTAACGGGATTGCTTTATCCTTATAAGCGATCCCGTGCGGAACCACATATTGGATTACTCCAGTGCGGCACGAAGCCGCTGACGCCGAGTCTAACCCGAAATTGAACATCGAATTGATCCACCCTTTTTCCATAGAGCTTTCTTGCCCTTGTCGCTATTTATATTTTCATCGGGTCTGGGTAGAGACCAAAGGTCTTGAGCAACCGGTCCGTCGAAAATCGATTTTACGGTATAGACGCTTATGACCTCCCCCTCTATGCCTTGCGGCAGGGTTATGAAAATCCGCGCGAAGCGACTGGTCGTATTGTGTGTGCCGATTGTCATTTAGCTAATAAGACCGTGGATATTGAGGTCCCACAAGCGATACTTCCTGATACTGTATTTGAAGCAGTTGTTCGAATTCCTTATGATATGCAAGTGAAACAAGTTCTTGCTAATGGTAAAAAGGGAGCTTTGAATGTAGGGGCTGTTCTTATTGGAAGGAGCAAAGTTCGAGGTTGGGGTCTTCTCGCCACCCTTATGCAGTCGCCATTCACGCGACCACGAACCAAATCCCGGTGTGAGTACAAAAAAGCGGAGGTTGTTCCCTTAAACGGAATGGTAAACGGAAACTTGGGCTTGTCCTGGCAGAGAGCAACGAGATTGTTCTCGATTTAAAGAAACATAGGCGATTCTCAATAAAGGTCGCCTGATTTTCAAAATTCCTTCCATGGAAGAATTAGAGCTCGATGATTGGGGTATTAACATGTCCAATAGGAATGCCGACAAGATGGCAACCTGGATAGCTCCCCTGGAGCTCGGTGATTGGGGTAATAACTTGTCCAATAGGAGTGCTCACAATTCGGCAACATGGATATCTCCCCTCTCTCTTTTGGCCAGAGTCGGAACAAAAAATGTCGTTCATGAAGAAAATCCCACTACCTCGACATTTGATGCTCTTTCCGGTGGCCGGAGAGATTTTGTCGGCGATGTTCTAACTCGGCCTCCGGGCCGGCAGGTGGTTGTTAAGGGAATATTTCCCCAAGATACAATCTCAACGGTTTTTTGATTTTTTTAAGAAAAATATTAATTTCCCTTTTCTCCCATTCTATGAATCCTCTTACTAGCCAAACTCTAAAAACCCTTACCCGAGCGGTTACGGGGAATCCTGGTTCCGATAGGTGTCGTCCCTATAAGACTCCGAACCCTAGCCCTATTACTCTATTATGTTCTAATATACGATTAAGGGCTTCATCGAGAGTAAAGGACGACATCCCTTCTTCCAGGTGCACCCCTCGCTCAAGTACTTTACACTTCCCCCCTTTCCTCCGTCGGTTACTTAATTCGGTGCTCTACTGCTCGTCTACGTCTATGCATGGCGGATTATAAGGAATTCTTTGGACTGCTCTCCATCGAATCCCAGACCTGGCATAATCACGACATGCATGGACGTGCCGTGTCTGTCACCACCTGCGGTGGATATTTTCCATCCTAACACCGATTTTCTTTGTTCACAGAACCGCAAAATGGCTCACGTGACTTCTGACCAGGTGGTTCAGTTCTCGATGGAGGAGGTTCAATCAACAAAATATTGGGCTGCTCACTCACTACTTGGTCGACTCTTCACTGAGAACAGGATATCAACGACGGAGCTACGAGAGTTGGTGATCACTCCTTGGCTAATTCAGGGCCGAATCAGGGTGGTGATGGCCAAGCATGGCCTAATTGGGTTTATGCTTCCAAGTGATGAGGCGAAGATCTGGGTCATCAAAAGGACTCCATGGGTAATCAATGACAAGATCCTCCATCTGTGTCCATGGACTCCTGTCATCACGATTTTTTTTATGACCTTGCAATTGGTCCATTCCGGATTCAATTGTGGGATGTGAATGAGGATTTCTGCACACAACAATTTGGCCAGAAAGTGGTGAATACCACTATTGGAAAAGTATTGAATCAGGGGTTTTTGCTTGCCAGGACACAGGACGTTGGTTTGTGAAAGTGAAAACGATGATTGATTTCACGAAACCACTTCGATCACAGATCATGGCTGCTAATGATGCACGGGGTGCTTCTGGGTGAATCTCAAATACGAACATCTTCCTAATTTTTGCTACCACTGTGGGTGGGTGGGACACTCGCAACGAGCCTGCTCCTTTGATCCACCGACTCGCAAAGAAAAATTCGGCCCACATATGTCGACTAGGAGGTTGGGCTTACGGATCTATGACATAAATGATCACAACCAATCCTTCCATCGAGGTTCAACTTCTGTGTGGGTTAATAGGGATTACCGCGAGCCCATAAATAACAAAAATGGTGTTGCTGGAAATCAGCCCGGTTTTGGAGACGCAAACCCAGCTCAGACCCGCCCTCTGCAGTATCGTCCTCGACATCCTCAAGTGACAGTGGCCAATTCTCCATGGAAGGGGAATATAATTCGCCGCCAGAGTCCACAGGGATTTTACGTTGCGCGATCACCAAAGATCATGCTGGGACGTCCTCATGCTGCTGCTTCCTCTGCGGGTTCCCCTCGTCGAGGGCGAGGCCCGTGGCGTCGCACTAAGAAAGCTCCCAGGCTGGATATGGGAGTGCAAGAGAGCATGTTGTGGCACGAGCAGGAAGGGAGCAAGGAGGGGCTTCTGTATTCGGATTCTGAGAATCTCGAAGCGCCCAAGGAAGCTGCAAGCATGAAGATAAAGATGCCGTCAGTTGAGGTTCGAAAACGACTACTAATTTTGGAGGACTCGGATGACGATCTGGCCGAAGCAGCACTCCCCATGCATCCCATGAAGGGATGTGTAGCTGAACCTACGGAAAAAAAAGAAGGGCAAAAGGTTGGTGAAGATGGGTACAGATAGTTCAACGGGGGACAATTCGAAGAAGATTTTGGCTTCTTCCAAGGCCCCCAAGCTGCAGCAGAATGCTTCTCGCTCTTGCTTCGCGGTCGATGCGGCTTCCAAAAAGCAAAGGCCAGCCCCGTGTTGGGAAAGGCAAAGGCTCCCATGCGAGCACTAAGGACAACGCCCCTGTTGTGGACTGTCCCGCTAAAGCACTATCCCCTACACTGGTGGACAAGCAGTTGTTTGCCAACGTGGTGGAAAATTGTGTGGTACGGGAGGCATCGATGACCTCTCCCTCAGAGGACGAAGAGAATCACTTTGTGATCAAATGTAGGTCTCCTCCTGCTGACCCTGGTCGTCAAGCTAACTCTAGCCAGGTTCGACAGGTGGTTGCCGCTTTTGAGGCTGGTATGATCATCAATGAGAATAAAGAGTTGCTGGAGAATGCGGAGGGGGAGATGGCTATGAAATTGAATGAGTATGGCTCTAATTTTGATGGTGCTGCTACTGGTAACCGGAAGCGCCCGCTGCAAGAGATGGGTGGAGAATTTGAAGACGATCCCACTCCTAAGAAACAGTTTGTGGAAGACCTGCATGATTTAGAGAAGGTGGAGGAAGCCAGCCTGGAGTGCCCCAACTAGTTAAATGAAGCTACTGGCCTGGAATGTGAGAGGAATTAGACCATCCCTCACATTCCAAACTGCTATAGGGTTAGTTCGTTCAAATAAACTGGACATTGTTTTATTTTCAGAAACAAGATCGTGCCGGAGAGTTGTTTCTCGTCATATGCGGGGTTTAGGTTTTGATTCTCCTCAATGTTTTTTTGTTGATGTCCCAAACAACTCTTCCCGGATACACATATCGTAATGTCGATTAAGGGCCTATTTCGTTGGCAGGCTCCCATTGGATCTACTCCTCTTTCTGTGTTGCCTGCTGTGAAGCATCCCGTTTTGCTCGCTGTTGTGCCCTGCCCATAAGAATGGACTTTGCTTGCATTTTGTGATCCTCCGCTTCAGTCTACGTTTTTCGGATAGCCGGGATCCGACGTTGATTTCCAATTTAAAAGTCAGCTCCAGGTTTTGGGCGGCCCATCTGGGGAGTCTGGTTAGTTCAGCTATCACTGCTGGAAGCCCCTGCGTTTGTTCGGCTGTGTACTCCCCGTCCGCGGTGGATACAGACGAGCTCACTTCTCTTCCAACTTTCTGATCTTATTAAATTTCTAGTGTCAGAGAAGGATCACTCCTAAAAACAACTGAATCCTCTGATATTAAAGTATAAAAAACTTCCTTGCCTGCCTTCCAGTCTTTGCAGTCTTCGAAGCTATCGATGCATTCCAACTGTCTGTTAGAGCGAGTGAATGGTCTTCAGGTACAGTGTAATAGGGAACTCGCTAAAGGTAAACTTATCTCCCCCGCCCCCTTGACGGAGAACCTTTATCCTTTCCTTCATGAGCACTGTAAGTCACTGGAAGTTAGTGGAGTGAACTCTTTCCAGTGGACTGTGTTTACAGTTTCCAGTTACGTACATTTTCTAGTGGTCTTGCTACTTATTTCAGTTTCTCGCCTAAGAGTATCCGGGTGTGTCACGAATGAGAGATTGCTTTCCCAAGAACTGGGAGGGAAAAATCCTTCTCCCGCGCCGGTTAATCAAAAACTTTCTCTCTCGCTGATCTACGACTGATTCTTTTTCTTTTTCCCCGGGTGGATACGAAAGTACGAAAGAATAGTAAACAGAGCACACTCGCTTGGGCTCTTATAATCATTGCAGGGTTCGGTTCCCCTTTGCTCTACGTCGGATGGAAATATCATCGAGTCCGGTAGGCAGTATTGGTAATATCAGAAAGCCGCACTTTCTTTTCGGAAAAAATGAGCCTAACATTTCAAGATTATATCCTCATAGATAGAGAGAAAAAGAGGAAAGGGTCGAGTTGGGCGGACAAAAGAGCGTACGCTGGCTATTACACAAAATAAATCCGAGTTCGTCCGAACTACTGGCAGTATCTTGGAGTGTTACAAAAAGGCGAATGAGACTGAGTTCTTTAAAATCTTTCAATTGGTTGAAAAAAAGCAGCATTGTCGTTAATGGCTCTGGTGGTCTAGTTGTAGCCTGGTCCCTCGAGGTTCAGGCTTCGGTGTTTTTTCATTCTAGTTTTTGCATTTGTTCCAAAATTAATGAAAGTGGTTCTTCGTATGTCGTTATTTGTGTTTATATGAGCTGTAATGACACCGTACGAGCTACTCAATTACCCAGTTGCGCAAAATTTGTGAGGGGATTCAGCTTCCCTTCGTGATCATTGGAGGCTTCAATGCTACCCTTCATGATCATGAAAAGGATGGTGGTAACCCTTGGAATGCTTCCCAATCAATTGGTGTTCGGAATTTTGTCCAAAACCTGGGCTAACATGATCCAGGGTACCAAGGTGATCCTTTCACTTGGACTAATAGACATATGGGACTGGCTTGTATTCGGGAAAGTCTTGACAAAGCTCTGTGTTCCCATAATTGGATTGATCGTTATCCAGAGACTCTCGTTAAGCACTTCACTTATCAAGGTTCGGACCATCGGGCTCTTCTTATATCTGATAAGCCCTATGTTCGGACGTGCCGTCCTCTGTTTCTCTTTGATGCTCGATGCGCAGAGAACCCAGAAGTGAAAGCCATGGTGGTTTATGTCTGGAAGGAGACATTTGATGGTACTCCGATGTTCCATCTTTGGGAGAGATTGAAGAAACTTCGCCATTTGCTTTATGATTGGAGCAGGGCGAGTACTACTAATTCCCTTCGAAATATCCACACCCTGCAAGCTGAAATTGAATGTATAAAGTCCATTCATCCTATCAATTGGCAAGAAGTAAGCAGCCTGGAGTCTGAACAAAATAGACAGTGGGAAGCAGAGGAAGCTTATTGGCAGTAGAAGTCTCGTGTCCATTGGCTGAAAAAGGGTGACAAAAACACGTCTTACTTTCACACGGTCACTAGGGCCCGTCGTAAGCAGAACTTTGGTGCTGGCCTCCGTAATGAGGCGGGTGAGTGGATTACTGAGGAGCACGGGAAAGCTGGTATAGCCACGAACTTCTATCAAACCCTCTTCACTTCGGAAAATCAGGTTCAAAATATGTTTGAGAGGGTAGCGGAACTCCCCATTGCTTCTAACGTTACCCCGGAAATGAATACCAGACTAACTGCTAAGGTCCTCCCTAGTGAAGTCCGCAAAACGGTCTTTTCCATGGGCTTGAAGCAGGCGCTAGGATTAGATGGATTCACGGGGAAATTCTTTAAAGCTTTCTGGGGGATTGTAGGTGACTCGATGATCGATGTTGTCTTCTCTTTCTTTGCTACAAGTAAGATGCTTCGTAGCTTTAATCACACTTGGCTTACCCTGATCCCCAAGGTGGAGCAGGTGGAGACAATGCGACAGCTCCGACCCATCAGTCTTTGCCAGTTTGTGTATAAAGTGATAACCAAAATAATGACGGAAAGGCTGGCAGGCTTACTGCCCCAAGTCATTTTGAAAGGTCAGAATGCGTTTATCCGTGAAAGACAGATCGTTGAAAATATACTTCTCGGACATGAGCTAATGCATTATCTGAAAATCAAAACTCGTGGTAAGAAGGGATACATGGCTCTGAAGGTTGATATGGAAACAACCTATGATAGAGTCGAATGGTCATTCTTTCTTGCGGTTTTGGAAAAGATGGGTTTTAACTCTGTCTGGCGAGGTTGGATTTATGAGTGTCTCCGCTCCACCTCTTTTTCTGTTCTCATGAATGGCACCCCGGCTGGGTTTTTCTCCCCTTCCAGGAGACTCCACCAAGGGGATCCTCTCTCACCTCTTCTCTTTGTGATTTGCACGGAGGGCTTTGTTGCCTTGCTTAGGAAAGCCATTTCGGAAGGCAAGCTGGAAGGGGTTAAGGTGGCTCCTACGGCTCCCGAATCTCGCATTTGTTCTTTGAGGATGATTCTTATTTATTCCTAAGAGGATCTCTCTAGGAATGCGAGAATCTTCTTGAGGTCCAGAATGAGTATGAGGAACTCAGTGTCCAGCGAGTAAATCTGGATAAATCAGCAGTCTGTTTTATCAAAAACATTGTGCTACCAGATCAGGAATTCCTGGCGGCGATTTTAGGAGTAGGTGCTGTAGGGGTCCAGGATAAGTACTTGGGTCTCCTAACTCTGATAGCCCGATCGAAACTGGTAACCTTTCGCTATCTAGAGGAGAAATTGTTGGCTAGACTCCAGGGATGGATATGTAGGACGCTATCTCGGGCGGCCAAAGAAAGTTTAATAAAGTCTGTGGCTTTGGCCCTACCTTTGCATGTCATGTTGTGCTTCAAATTGCCTTTGGCTCTTTGTCGTCTTTTAGATAAGCATGTCGCCCGGTTTTGGTGGGGTGTCGAGGAGGGCCAGTACAAAATTCAATGGGGTTCCTGGAGGAATATGTGAAAAAGTAAGCATGGAGGGGGATGGGTTTCCATCTCTTTGAGCATTTTAACCAGACTCTCTTGGCTAAAATTGGGTGGCGAATTCTAAATGAGCCCGCCTCCCTCCTTGCCTAGGTTTATAAAGGGAAGTTTTTCCCTAATGGTTCCTTCCTCACGGCTACGGCTCGATCCTGACCTTCGCGGGGTTGGCAGAGTATCCTCTTTGGACGGGAGCTGTTGGTGACGGGTTGACGCTGGCAAATTGGCAATGACCGAAAGGACTCCCTACTTAACTCTAATTGGATCCCTCATCAGCATCCTCTTCCCCCTAGGTATAATCCTTGTGTGTTACCGGAAGGGGAGGAGTTGAAGGTGGTTGCGGTAATCCGACCTGGCGAGGGGCGTTGGTGTGATGCTAAGCTCAGGCAATGGTTTGACCCTATGACCTGTAAAGCTATTAGAGCGATCTCGCTGCCTCGTCAAGATATAGAGGATCGCTTGGTATGGCATGCTACTTTTGATGGAGTATTCATTTTTAAAACTGCGTACCATTTTGCGGTTACTCTTGACCAGTAGAGGGGTAGGTGGAGGTCCATGG